TAATTGGATGATTTTAAAATCCTTATATGATGTTTTACTGTTGTTGTTAAGTGCTGTTGAGTCAGTTCTGACTCATAGCGACCCTGTATAGGGTTTCGAAAGAGCAGCTGGTAGGTTTGAACTGCAGACCTTGTGGTTCGCAGTTCAGTGCTGATCCTATAGCACCACCCCAGGATGTTTCGCCATAACCCTGCATATTGAAAAACAGAAGTCTTTTCTCAACTGCTTCATTCTTTCTACCTTCCAGTCCATCTGCTGCCACATCACTGGTTGGGATGTCAATGTTGCAATCTGTTTGTCTCACAGAGCACCAGGAAAAACACAAGTGAGGCTTGGCCCTGGTCTCAATAAGCCTAGACTGTTACACCGACTCTGAAACTAGAAGTTTTAATCAAGAGACCTGATTTCAGGCTGTTCTGCCACTTACGAGCTTTATATCCTTGGACGACTCACTTAATGAAATTATAACTGAAGAGCTTGATCTCTTGAGTCATATATGTTCAAATTCTGGCACTATCATTTAATAGCTGTAAAACCACAGCCAAATCCGTTAACTTTTCAAGCATCTTTTTCGTGACTAAGAGCATTCAAATGAACTTAGGACTCCTGACAAGAAGAGGCTATGCTTCAGTGTGAGGCGGAGGCAAACTCCATTTTGAATCAAAAGTAAACTCTGCATCAGGTGTGCAGCCTGTCAGTCCTGTAACTCCCCTTTTTACTCAGGGAAAATTACTTGGTAAACAATTTTAAGAGAACAATTCTCAGTTGCTTGCTGCTTAGGAAGCCTGGTACTAAACTATTCTCAGAATTGTGCATGTCTCCTTGGTAGTCGCTCAAGGAAGGGCTCATGATTGTTTTCAGGACAGATGCACCCAATTTAATGATTACTTTGTAACTTAAAAAAAAAAACCTCATAAATGTATGTAGTCTCCTACCAATCAAGTACCACCATCCAAATGTACAATTATTACCTGTCATGGAGGGTACTGTGACGCTCCTAAACACATGTCAACTTGGTTTGGCTGTGATTCTCAGAGTTTGACTCTTATGTAATGTGGAAGTTATGTGATGAACACCAAGATGAGATAAACCAGTAAGATGATCAAGGGTGGAACAGCATATCCTTAATCCCTTCAGGAGTCCTGGTGTGGCTCCATAGGATAAGTACTCGATTTCAAGGTCGGTCTAAACTGCAATGCTCAGTGGTTCAGTGGTTCAAACTCAGCAGCTGCTCCTCGGAAACCTACACAGGGTTGCTATGAGTCAGGGCTGACTCAACAGCACCTAACAACAACAAATCCCTTCATTGTTGTTGTCATTGTTAAGTGCTGTCGAGTTGGTTCCAACCCATGGCGCCCCTGAACAGGGTTTCTGAGGCTGTAAATCTTTACAGGAGCAGAAAGCCTCATTTTTCTCCTGTGGAGCAGCTGATAGTTTCAAACTGCTGACCTTGCGGTTCACAGCCCAATTTGTAACCACTATGCTTCCAGAGCTCCAACAACAAATCCCTTCATACCCCTGGTGAAATATAAGGGAAATTTCCCTGGGAAGTGGCCTACAATACATTTAACCTTGCCAGAGATGAAAGGAGAGAGAAGTGAGCAGAGAAGCACCTATTTATAATCACCAAGAAAGCAGAGCCAGGAGCAGAGATTATCTTTAGCATCACTGGTCCGCTCCTGTGTAAAATGGATGCCTAGATTAGCAACATTTGAGGTCATTGCTACCATTCAACAAACATAAATAGAAGCTACTCATGCTAAGCTCTACCTGTTGTTAAGTGCCATCTCAGAGAGACCCTATGTACGGTATACAAGGAACAGCTGGTGGGTTTGAACTGCTGACCTTGTGGTGGAAACTGACCTTGTGGTCCAGTGTTTTATCCTATAGTGCCACACCAGGACTCCTACTTAGCTTTACCCTTTGTTGTTGTGCCTTCAAGTCACTTCTGACTCATAGCAACCCTGTATAGGGTTTCCAAGGAGTGGCTGGTGAGTTTAAACTGCTGACCTGAGGTTCAAAACAACCTTGTGGTCTAGTGTTTATCTTACAGCGCTACACCAGAACTGCAGCTTTACCTTGGCTGGCTGTGTGCCATGGAGTCGGTTTCGACTCATTGCAAGCCTGTATAGTGTTTCCGAGGCTGTAAATCTTTACAGGAGCAGAATGCCTCATCTTTCTCCTGCGGAACAGCTGGTAGTTTCGAACTGCTTACCTTGCAGTTCACAGCCTGATTCATAACTTTTTCACTACCAGAGCTCCTTAGGTGTTAAAAATAATAGTAGTAAAGAACACAAAATGTCTATCTGTCCTTCTATGGATCTATTACCGCTCATTATCCTTTAGTCTAGTGGTTCTGCATCACTTAGGCCGCAGCAGTCACCCAAGGGCTTCTGAAATCACAGAGATCTGTAGCACCCTAATCACCAAAAGCTTCTGATTTAGTAGGTAGAGCTCTAATGTTTGACTGTTTACAGAGTTTCCAGGTGATATTGTTACTCTTGTCCCAGGGTATCTTCAGCATAACATACACATGTCTAGCCACATTAAATTAGCATTTTTAATTAATTAAAAACTTAAATTAATTGAAAATAAAACAATAACAAACCACAAGCAGACCACATACTTTTTTAAATTTAATGTGGTATGATGCAAATGAAGAAAAGACATTTCAAATCCTTTGTTTGGATGAGTTCTTAAAAGTGTGTAGTTTCCAAGGCCTGTAACATCAGCTTCACCTGAAACTTGCTAGAAATGTAAATTCCCCAGCTCCACCCTCCACCTTTTGAGCTGAAACTGGGAAGGGAAGGGAGTGAGGCCTAGAAATCTAATTTAAAGAGAAGTATGGGAAAGAGACTAAAGGGCTCCCTTTTCAAGTTTTCCTCAATGATAACTATGCTCAATCCTCTCACTGCCCTCTCCTTCCTTTTACTCCCAATAAAAGACTCACACACAGATAGACTTGTTAAGTGCTGTCAAATTCATTCCAAACCATAGTGCAACTTTATAAGGTTTCCGAGGAGCAGCTAGGGGATTTGAACTGCCAACCTTGTGGTTTGCAGTCTAGTGCTGATCCCACAGTGCCATACCAGAAGTCCAAAACTTCATCTTCGTCGAGTGCCATCGAGTCGGTTCCGTTTACATAGCGACCCCGTATAGGCTTTCCAAGAGCTTGAACCTCTGATCTTGCAGTTCAAACTGCTTTGCAGTCTGGCGCATTAACGCACAGCGCCACACCAGGATATGTGGCTAAACCATCAAACTCATCAAATCTATTCAGATATGTATATAGTCCACTTGTTGCTTAAACTTTAAGTTTCATAGTTCCCCTAAAAAAGCATACGTAGAATAAAATATTTCTTGGCCTAGGAGTTAAGACACAGTACATAATACAATCCCCAGATACAAATGATAAATTTCTAGTTGTTGTTGTTGTTATGTGCCATGGAGTTGGTTCCGACCCATAGTGACCCTACACAGGGTTTCCGAGGCTGTAAGTCTTTACGGGAGCAGACCGCCTCATCTTTCTCTCGCGGAACCGCTGGTAGTTTCGAACTGCCGACCATAAGGTTCACAGCCCGATTCGTAACCATAAATTTCTAGTAGTCATAAAAAAAAGTCAAATGAGTGATATTAACTTGCTATTCAAAATGCATTCCATGTAATAATGTCAAATTATTTCAACATGCAAACAATATAAAATTGCTAGTGAGTTATTTAAATTTTTTTTGTAGTCTTGAAAATCTTGATTGTGTTTTACATGGCCTTTGTTGTTAAATGCCTGGTGCCTGTTCTGCCTTATAGTGAGCCTGAATAGGGTTTCAGATCAGCAGCTGGTCGGTTTGAACCTCCGACATTGTGGTTAGCAGACAAGGGCTAATGCTACAGAGCCCCATCAGGACTCCTTTACATGGATTGCTGTTAAGTGCCATCCAGAAGCTTATGACTCCTAGAGACCCAGTAGGAGTCTTCAGAGAGGATCTTCGCGGGAGCACAAAGTTCCATATTTCTCCCTCAGAGCAGCTGGTGGGCTCGAACTCAGACCCTGTGATTTGCTGTCCAGCGATTATCCTCAAATTAATTAGAATGTTAAGCAATTTAATACTGTGACGCTATAAAATTTAAAAAACGAAAAAAGGCCATACATACAAGCATACCTGAGACCTCAAAAAGTCTGTGGAAAAATGCAATGAAAAGATGATGGGATTTTCCCACGAACTCTTTGAGGTCCCTCAGGTATGTATGTACATATACATACATACTTAAATCATGAAGATCCATGACCCCTGCTAGGTGCAAAGAGACAAACCCGGAAGAACTGGTCACCTATGACAGCTGTTATCGTAAGCAACACGAGGGGGGAGGGGAGAGCTGCCTTAGGCGTCCGCGTTCAGTTTATCTTTCCCTTTTTAATTCCCCCCTTAAGTAAATATTGCTCTTGTGTAATTTAAGGAGCACATCTCTAACGTGCTTCGAAACGACTACACTTTTTCCTCGTACTCTGGAATGTAATTTTAAGATAGAACGTATATACCCCGCAGCAAGGAAAAAACGGTTATAAGGGAGTGTATCCAAACGGCGCACACGTTGCATTCGTCAGGCTTTCCGTTAGCCGTTCCCTGCCTGTCGAACGGATGCACAACCGCCACTGACATCAAAGGAGACTGTATCTCTCTGGGGCTGTTTTTCGTAAGGTCAGCACACACTAGGCTTATATTGGTGGGAGAGGGGCGCTACGCAAAAGTTACAAAATGAGAGGCGGGGACGGAATCATGCCTTTGAGCAAGAAGTAGACAGACACACTAAGGCAAAGGGCGGAAAACCGGAAAGTCAAGCGAACGGAACACAGAATCGACTTCCGCAAATCAGCGGAACGCCTCCCACTCAAAGAGAGGTTTCTGACCGGATTTTGAGAGCTGTTTCCGTTTTTCGCCGGAAGCGTGAAACGCAGGAGGACGACTGGTAAAAGAAGCCGCTATCCTGTGTGCACAACGTGAATCATGTCGAGCTTGGCGGTGAGAGACCCGGCAATGGATCGATCACTGCGTTCCGTGTTCGTGGGGAACATTCCGTATGAGGCGACTGAGGAGCAGTTAAAGGACATTTTCTCTGAGGTTGGTTCTGTTGTCAGCTTCCGGCTGGTATACGATAGAGAGACGGGGAAACCCAAAGGTTATGGCTTCTGCGAGTATCAAGACCAGGAAACCGCGCTCAGTGCCATGCGGAACCTGAATGGGCGGGAGTTCAGCGGGCGAGCGCTTCGCGTGGACAATGCTGCCAGTGAGAAAAATAAGGAGGAGCTCAAGAGCCTGGGGCCTGCAGCGCCCATCATTGACTCACCCTATGGGGACCCCATTGATCCTGAAGATGCCCCTGAATCAATAACCAGAGCAGTCGCCAGCCTCCCACCAGAGCAGATGTTTGAGTTGATGAAGCAGATGAAGCTCTGTGTTCAAAATAGTCACCAGGAAGCTCGAAATATGTTACTGCAAAATCCGCAGTTGGCATATGCGCTGTTGCAAGCACAAGTAGTGATGAGAATCATGGATCCAGAGATTGCCCTGAAAATTCTACATCGCAAGATACACGTCACGCCGCTTATTCCTGGCAAATCTCAGGCTGTCTCTGGCCCTGTCTCTGGCCCCGTCACCGGTCCCGTGTCTGGCCCTGCCACTGGCCCTGGCCCTGGCCCCGGGCTCTGTCCTGGACCTAATGTTCTGCTTAACCAGCAGAATCCTCCGGCCCCTCAGCCGCAGCATTTGGCTAGAAGACCTGTGAAAGACATCCCTCCTCTGATGCAGACGCCTATCCAGGGTGGAATTCCAGCTCCAGGGCCAATCCCAACGCCTATTGCTGGACCTGGTCCTGGTTCCTTAACTCCTGGAGGAGGAATGCAGCCTCAAGTTGGAATGCCAGGAGTTGGTCCAGTGCCTTTAGAGCGGGGACAAGTGCAAATGGCAGATCCCAGAGCACCTATACCTCGTGGACCCATGACTGCTGCTGGCTTACCTCCTCGAGGACTACTAGGAGATGCTCCAAATGACCCACGTGGAGGGACTTTGCTTTCAGTCACTGGAGAAGTAGAGCCCAGAGGTTATCTGGGCCCACCACATCAGGGTCCTCCCATGCACCATGCTGCCTCTGGTCATGACAGCCGTGGGCCCTCCTCACATGAGATGAGGCCTGGCCCAATAGCAGACCCCAGAATGCTAATAGGAGAGCACAGAGGACCCATGATGGACCAAAGGGGTCTACCCATGGATGGCAGAAGTAGTAGAGATTCTCGAGGGATGGAGACTCGAGGCATGGAAACTGAGGTCTTAGAAGCCAGAGTAATGGAAAGAAGAGGAATGGAGACCTGTGCAATGGAAACCAGAGGGATGGAGCCTAGAGGCATGGATGCAAGAGGAATGGAGATAAGGGGCCCTGGCCCCAGTTCTAGAGGTCCTATGACTAGTGGGCTACAGGGCCCTGGTTCAATTAATATGGGGGCAGGTGGACCTCAGGGACCCAGACCAGTCCCAAGCATTTCAGGGGTAGGGAATCCTGGAGCTGGCATGCAGGGATCAGGAATACAAGGTGGAGGCATGCAGGGGGCTGGAATGCAAGGAGGAGGCATGCAGGGAGCTGGAATACAAGGAGGAGGCATGCAAGGGGCTGGAATACAAGGAGGAGGCATGCAAGGGGCTGGAATGCAAGGAGGAGCCATGCAGGGGGCTGGAATGCAAGGAGGAGCCATGCAGGGGGCTGGAATGCAAGGAGGAGCCATGCAGGGGGCTGGAATGCAAGGAGGAGGCATGCAGGGGGCAGGAATGCAAGGAGGAGGCATGCAGGGAGCTGGAATACAAGGAGGAGGCATGCAAGGGGCTGGAATGCAAGGAGGAGGCATGCAGGGGGCTGGAATGCAAGGAGGAGGCATGCAGGGGGCTGGAATGCAAGGAGGAGGCATGCAGGGGGC